TACACATGTATATATATATATATATATATATATATATATATATATATATATATACACACATTAATAAACAATTTATTCTCACTTAATTAGGCGGCGCTAGAATTTTATGTCAATAGATGACCTAATTACACCTTCCAAAATTAGAAATTTCTAATAAACAACCAAATGCTCATTGCTATGCCTCTTGAATGAGAATCACATCTCTCTAGCTGCAGGAGACTTACCTTTTCCATTTCCATGAAGTCTTCATCTAATTTAGTTCCCTCTGCCCCACCGACCTTCTCACTAACTCTCTGCAAAATAAGACAGGACAGTTTTAGGTTTTGTAATTAATTCTGAATTTTGTCCAGAACAATACATTTTTGTAAATTCTTTTTCCTTTTCCTTCGAATTTTCCACGGACCCCTTAGCTTAAAAACATATACATAACATCCTGTCTCTGGACCACAAATTTATCCCAAACACATCTTAAACTTGTACACTGATGCAATATGCTGCATTAAAACAAAAACAAACAAACAAACAATAAATAAATAAATGAGAAAAATCTTAAACTGAGGTCTGAAATCTTTCAATCATATAAGGTCATTGTAGAATATCGAAGAAACATCTTTCATTATTTGGAGTCTGCTTATGTCAGTTATCTAATACAGTGGATCTCAACACTTCCCCTGGACTACCCTTATGACTACACAAGGGACTGATTTTTATATTCAAGTTTTTAATTTCTGTTAGTGTCCACTAAACATTTCTACCTGTAAACCTAAAGAAATTTTATTGTTCACAATTCTGTAATTTGGAGTCAACAGTCAATATTCAAGTCAACTGGTTATGGTTCTAGATCAAATCCAAAGTTAAGACTCAACTTAAAGTCTCAGACTCAAGTTTCCATCTCTGCAATAAAACATATTTTAAGGCAGAAAAGAAACTAAGTTCTAACGGAACAATATAGTACTTAGAAGGTGGTATGTACTGGTTGTCAGCAATATGAGCTACCATTAATACAGAGCAAAACAATATTTTGTGTACGGGGCACTACATGTGATTAATGTAGTAAATGCTAAAAATAGCACCTCAGCAGAAAACTAATTTGACAAATTAGTAATCCACTAATCCAAGTTGATGCTAAAAATAAACAATATTTAATTATATCTAGCTGTATCTTTTAAGTCAGTTATTTAATACTTCTGCTGTACTTTGCTATTGGAAATAAAACCATTATCAATGCAGTACTTTATTCCAGAGCATTAAACATTCAAACATTTTCTTTCTGAAGACGTTATACTTCTACAAATACACCAAGTTAAAGACTTGCCGTGTCTGCCAAAGGTTTGTCTGTGCCACAGGCTTTACTCAAAGTTACAAACTTAATCAGAACACCTTCTTGCTCATGATTGAGCTGTCACTGTGTTAAGAAGATTTGAGGGCAAAGATACTAAGACATCCCAAGGGACTGGAAGAACGTGGCTGCCAAGTATTATATGGTGAGAATAACTCAAAATTAGCCAATTTCATACAGAGACTCCAATTTAGGAATATCTTCAATACCAATGAGATGCTACACGTCTTATTGTAATAAAAATACTTAGTATTGCAAAGAATCATACGAATGAGGGGATTCTGATAAAGTAAACTATATAAAATGAGAAAAAAAGTCAAACATGCTTAAAAGGCAAGACTCTGACTGCTTTCATTAAGTCTGGTTTGCTGAAGTTGATTTCTTAAGGTAGGTTTTGAAATGCTTTCATTGACTGTGAGCTACTTTTAACTAAAATGTGGACATATAGTAGATTAACAATTACTTAACTGGCCTACAGAGTAATAGCTCTCATAAAAATTACATCAACAATAGTATAACAAACTTAATTACGTAAATTAAAGTGAAGTACATTAAATATTATGTACAGTGGGTACGGAAAGTATTCAGACCCCCTTAAATTTTTCACTCTGTTATATTGCAGCCATTTGCTAAAATCATTTAAGTTAATTTTTTTCCCTCATTAATGTACACACAGCACCCCATATTGACAGAAAAACACAGAATTGTTGACATTTTTGCAGATTTATTAAAAAAGAAAAACTGAAATATCACATGAACACCTTAAAAGCAATTTCCTACAATTCAAAGAAATGAACAGTTCACTTTAACTACAGCCAATAAACACATTATGAATTACAAACAAATTAAATCAGACTGATTCAGCAATGAACTTCACTTTAATATAAAAGATGATCTTTGATTTGGGTGAACTTATCAATGATTACCTGTCGAGGTCTGGCAGTTCATGAATGAATGAATGCATTTTCAATGGAAAGCATAGTGAGGGTGTTTAATCTCTGTTGACCCAAGACATTTCATTAAAAAAAGAAATGAACATAAATCAAAATACAGATGGATGACAGCAACATACCAGTCCCTTATTTAAAATGATTACTGGCCTACATTTCCTAATTCATCATTACTCCTAGTCTGGTACTGTTCAGGGAATGAAAATTAATATTGATTAAGCAGGTTTATTTGATAAATGCTGATTACATGTATATACAGAAATACTCCAGTAGCTGTACACTTTACTGTACAACATCCTTTTCGAAATAAAATCTTAATCAGAATATGGACCTTAATTGGAATTACAACAAATAAAAACGGATCACAGACTAAATGTTTTCACCTTTGCTTTGTTGATCTTCATTTTTGAATAGTCTACTGAAGCAATTTCCTTTGGGTTCTATTAAACAAATTTAATTTGCATATATTATTTGCATATTTTATTTGTAATTAGATTCATGCCACATTTCAAAGTAGTATCCTGCGCTAGCATAATGTAAGATTTAAATCAAAATCATCATTCAGCAAACAGTGATGAACATATACAGGTTTATATACCCAAGGAGGCAATACACACACACACACACACACACCTGTGCAGCTCAGGCCAATCATTCAAGAAGCCAGGAACACTGAAAAGAGGACATACGATCATAAATCCTTGAGATACACCGACAGTCGCTTAATCTCATCTGAAAAGAAAGGCTTTTACTCTGAGATTACTCCCACATAACTTAAAAAAACAGCTGTGAGTAATATTAGCTGGATGGGAAACAGTGACCTACCAGACATGTATCAAAATACATGGTCATAACTGTCTCAAAATACAATCTTAAAATAATAAATTTTAATGGTAGAACTATGCTATTAATTATCTTACGGTGGTGTTTAAAGGGGTTATCTGACGCGTTTTCAAGTTTTCCTTTCTCTTTGGAGTGTTACAAGCTGATTGTGCATAGATAAGATTCCTGAAGTTGGAAAGACTAAAGTCTCAAAACCAAAGAGATATTCTTTATCAAAGTTAAGACTCTGCCACGCCCCCCTAAAACGGCTCTTTCCAACACGCCCCCACATATCTACCTCACTATGTGGAAATATTAGCATAATGCCGCCCAAATGTGCATGCAAAGAAAGACGACGTGGTTTCAGTAACCGCAGTTAGTGTTGAAGCAGCCATGTCAGGGAGACGCTGTGTGTTTCTAGGTGAAAGCAAAAGCACTTTATTTGGCCTTCCGAAAGTAGATGCATTTAGGAATCTTTAAGATTACTTACAACAGAACAGCAATGCATTTTATGGACGACCGTTTCGTGAACCTAGGAGAGGAGGTAATTCTGACTTTGCTATGACAATCTGGCGCTTCTGAATCAGCTACTGTTTTGTTATTAGTTTAAGTATTTGCTATTGACTGTTCAAATGCGGAGTTTTGCGC